GCCAATGGTTTTTCTTTGTTCCTTGTGAAGTTCTTTGCTTTGAGGAAGATGGCATAAGAGCCATAGTTTATAACAATTTAAATTTTTCCTTTTGGATTTAAAATTTAGTTTTTTTCTGGGATGTACAATTCTGTTTTCTGACAATGAGGTTGACATTCCTTCTATTAAGAAGTGTGGTCTATCTTCCCTTCCCTTGAATTTGGAAATGGGCTAGTGATTTCCCTGACTAACATTGAGGAGATGTGTTGCTATGTGACCGTTAGGTCTTGAAAGCAAGAGTTTCTGCCTGGGTTTCTCTCATTCTTAAAAGACTTGCTCTTGAACTTTAGCCCCCACCTGTGAGACAGCCCAGTCTACACAAAGACCCCATGCATGAGTATCCTTGTCTACTCTTCCATCTAACCTCTGCAAACTACGGGCATTAAGCTCCAGACATGTGAATAAATGAAACCCGATTATTCCAGCTAATCATAGCACCCACTCAGAGAGAAGCAACAGTTTTCTTTCTTATTTTTAAGTTTTTTTTAGGTGGCTCAGGTGCATTTTTAAAATTTTCTTTTATAATCCTCCCACAAAAGAGCAAAATTAAAAACCAAGGCCCTGGCAAAGGGTGAGAACCATTACTCATTCCCTAGAGGCCTCCACCCTCCCCCATAGTCCCCAGCTGTGTCACTGCTGTGGTCCATCATGGTGGAGGGCTCGCTTCTTTCCTCAAGCCACAAATGGGACAAGACCAACCAGCACCCCTGCCCCCAGCCCCTCCCCTGTACACTGAATCTGGTTACAGGAGGCTGTGGGAAGGTGTTGGGATCCAGTAGGAATGCTGAACTCCAAAGGCCATGGCCAGGGTTCTCTGAAGACCCACCTCATTCCCAGAGGCCAGCTACATATTCCAGGACCTGGGCAAAAGCAGTCATACTGGAAGTACAGTGGCTTTTCTTTCACATGAAGAACCAGCATCTGGTCTGGCCAGTTCCAGACTTGGAGATTCTGATGAATCGCTCCTTCTCAGCCTCCTTGCTCCCCCAGAATTTGGGCAGGGTGATGTGGCTAGAATGGACATGGCACTGGGGACAGGCCTTGGTGATGTCCAGCAGGAAGTCCTGTGGGCCCTTTTGCCAGGTCCACAGCCTTCCAGTCAATGAGCGTGGGTGCACTGGGCACCCTAACTCCTTGTCCCTAATTCTTGTCCATGTAGATGCCACAAACAAAACAATGTCCTGACTGGCCTGCTCCCTCTCAAGGTCCAGGCTCTGAAGTGGGGGCATGAATTTCCACTCAGGGTATGACTTGGGGCTTCCAGGAATTGCCACCAACCTCTTTGGCCTTGCTGGGCAACCCTTCCAGGCCAGGCTCCATGCCAAGCTGGCTCTGGTCCAGCCACAACCCATGGCCACAGAAGGCAGGGAGCTGGGCTTGGAGCCCGTGCAATTAGGATAGGGTGATATGTGTCACTGAATGTCTGTGGCCACACTCTGGGGGGCCTGGGGTGGGGTGTGCTGTGGCTGCTGATAGCTGGACCGATTTCCCTGGAAGCAGAGGCCTTGCTGGAAGTATCTGGAGACCCAGGGCATCTTCCTGTAGTGAGTTCGACCCCCAGGGGCAGACCCCCTTCGGTAAAGGTCCAGCATGGCCCGTGGGGTGGAGGTATGGTCTCCCCACCATCGACACTGCCATAGGCCCTGCAGGGTCCATTCCGGCTTCAGCCCCTAAAGAGAACCCTTCTTTCCTTTTAATATACATTTTAATACTTCCTATCACCAGGATTTGTTATTTATTGATGCTTGACAAATTATCAGAGTTTCTTTGGGGTAGGAATTCTAAAAGGGTTGCTCTGAGGAATGGCTTAATATCTGCTCCAGGAAGTCTGGAAGAGTTCACAGCTGGGGGCTGGAATATTCGGAAGGCTCCTGTACTTCAGAAACTCACAGGCACTGAAAATTTTTGCTTTCTGTAGCTAATCAAGCTCCAGGTAAAGAGCAAGGGCAGTCTTCTTTTCTCATCAATGAAACATAATATATTTCAGGTTCATTCATGTTGTAGCACATATCAGTAGTTTGTTCCTTGTTGAAGAGTTTTGTATGGCTATGCCACATAATGTTTATCCATTCATCAAAAGGTAGACCTTTGAATTGTTTGTAATTTTGGACTAAATGTATAATACGTCAGTATACATAGGCATATAGGTCTTTTGTAGACATTTATTTCATTTTCTTGGATAGATACTTAGGAGTGGAATTTCTGGCTCTAAGTTTGTGTTTAATTTTTAAAGAAAGTTTCAACCTATTTTCCAAAGTGACTACACGATTTTATATTTCCACTGGCAATCATGTTCCATCAACAATCCATTTTATTTCTCTGAACAATAATTTGTGAATATAGTTTACAAGTCCTGAATAAGTTTTGCTAAGTTTGTTCCTAAATATTTAATTATCTTAGCTTCTATTGTGAATTGTTTTGTCAATTTCATTTAGTTTATTCTTTGTTAGTATATTACATAGGCAATTGCCATTTTTTTATATTGCTTTATCATCCCACAGACTTAATGTACTCCCTTGTTAAATCTAGCAATTTCTTTGTGGACTCTAGTATTTCCTATCTATAGGGTAATATCATTTTTGAATAAAATTAGTTTTATTTCTTTCTTTTCATTCTGAGTGCTTTTGCTTTTTAAAATTTTATTTTCATTTGATTGTCTTGGATAAACCCTCAAATAAAATGGTGAAAGTAAGTGGCAAGAGCAGACATTTTGCCCTGTGCCCAACAGTAGAGAGAAAACGTTCAGTCTTTCACTATTGATAATGATATTATAGACTTCTTATAGATAAACTATGTCTACTTGAAAATGTTGCTTCTATTCATTATTTGCTAAGAGCTTTTTTTTTTCTTTGAAATTAGGATTAGGTATAGTCAAATTCTAATTCTGTGTCTATTGAGATAGCCATGTGATTTTCTATTTGCATTGATATGACGTATTAGATACATTATTCTTGGATGTTAAACTAACCTTGCATTCCTAGGATAAATGCCATTTTGTCATTACATATTACCTTTATACTATGCTTCTGGAGCTAATTTGTTAAGGAATTTGTTTACCCATGTTTGTAACTGATAACAGTCTAGGATTTTGTTTTCTTGTGATGTTTTTGATTGGTGTTGGTATAGGATACATATAATGAGTTGGTAAGTATTTTGTCCTTTATTTTCTGAAAGAGTTTATTCAGAATTGGTATTATGTAATCTTTAAATAATTAATAGAATTTCCCAGCAAAACCATGTGGACATGAATTTTTTCCTTTATGGGGAGATTTTTAACTACATCTTCATTTTCTTCACTTGTTTTAGGTGTATAAAGATTTTCTATTTCTTTTTGAGTTCAGCTTCGGTAATTTGTGTCTTTCTTGAAATTTGTTTAACCCATCTATGTTAACTAAATTTTTTGGCATAAAGTAATTTATAATATATTTTATAATATTTTAACTCATTTGTAATAAAAATGTGATGTCTTCTCCTTTGTTCCGAGTTTTCATAATTTTGGGTTTTACCTATTGTTTTCTTAGTTTAAGCCTTACTTGAAAATACTAATAATAAGACAATTCTAATTCAAATTGACTCAGAAAGCTATGGGTGCTTACTGAGATAGCACCAGGGGATAGGAAAAAAAGCTCTAACAAAACATTTTTTAAGGCATGAGGGATAAAAATAAAATTATTTTTTGATAATCTGATGTGAGCATAAAACCATTAATAAACTTACTAAATAAATAAGAAATGGGTCAATAATAATAATAAGAGTTTGAGTGGTTTTACTACTAGGAACATAGCAATGAATTGGTAATATTTTGGTTATTTAATATTTACTGAATTCATATTTGAATTTACTTTGTAAGTATTCAATGATAACTAGTGTCTACCCAGCAAATTTTATAATGATGGTCATGCTAAATCAAGGTCAGTCAAGTTTCATCATTGCTTTCCCACATACACATTAGCTGAGTCATGAAAACATAGATTTTTTTTCTTTTTATATGTAATTCAATAAGTTATATTGAAAAAGTAATTACTTAATACTCTAATAAACCATATTATCTTGTAAAAAGTTCATTGCTTACCTGATTACAGTATTTCTTGAACAAAGATGTTACTGCTTTTAATTCCCCATTCCATTAGATGTGTGCCTTTAGGTAAGGTCCTTTCAACAATCTGGAGCAGTTTATCCATCTATAAAATTTCAGAAGTTAAGATTTTATAATATGTAAGTTGCAAATGTGTGTTATGTCATGCCTTAACTTAATTATATCTAGTCTACACCAAATGACAGGGATATAGACAATCTGTTATTGGCTGGGGCTAAAAGTTGTGATGGGATTTTGATGGGCACTTTTCAAACCAATGTTCCTTTTGATGCTGTAGGAAGAAAAGCTTGCTTATTTTTTCCTTTCTTATCACAAAGGTGATATCCTAGCTTTCTATCATCTATCTCTCCCTTTTACTTCCTTAAATCTATTTTCATTTTCATTTATGCAAAGGTTTTGTTCCTTCCCTGTCCTTGTAATTCATCATCATTCCTTTCAGGAGGCATTTTAAGGGAGTTATTTAAATATGTAGATAATTCTACTCAGTAAAGTTTATATTATATGGATACAACATAAAAAACACATATATCCATTGGAAAATATCACTATTGCTGAAGACTGGTTCTACCTGAGCAGAATGGCTACTCTTATGATAAAATACCAGCTAAATGGTTGACATTAACTCAGCGGTGGTTTTCAGGGGTAAGTACTGGTATACTGCACTGTTGGTGCTCTGGCAGTGAAACATTGGTTCCAGATTTACTTACTCTTTTATCATTTGTATTGGACGCAACACCTCAGAGTTCCCAAAAGAGAATGTCACTTGGATTTTGTATAAAGGCTGATTTAAAAAAAAATACTACTTACTATAAAAGCAACAACTGACTAGATCTTGTAATAATTTCCTTTATTATGTTTTCAACAGGTAACCCATTGTTAAGCAGCACAGTCAACATATTGATTAATGTCCTAGATGTCAATGAGTTTCCTCCAGAAATATCTGTGCCATATGAGACAGCTGTGTGTGAAAATGCCAAACCAGGACAGGTATCTTATCCATATTGTGAATTAAGAGTGTGTAAAGACCCACTACATGCATGTGTTTTAGTTTATAAGACTGTAAATGGAGACACATATATGTAAATATTTGTATATGTGTTTTTTTCTAGATCATATATTTTCATAAAAGAAACCATAAGAAATAGTAAACTCATAAATTAATGATGCATGTATGGGTGTTCAAGTAATACCACAGAGGATAGTGATGATGACCTAGAGAATATTCTTTGTATAACTAAAAGGCCTAGGATTGCACATTCTGCTATGTTTTCTACTCCTTTACTGTGCAAATTCTAAAGAAATAACAACTATAAATCCAGGAAAAAAACAACTTCAGAGTTTATTCTTCCAGAGTATTTCTTGCTCTGCTCGCATGCTTTTATGAAAGAGTACAGAAAAACTCTCAAGCCCATGAAAAATGTAAAGCTTCTTTTTCACATGGACTTGAGTAGAACATCTGGATTATTCACAACACCAGAGTGACAGTTCCTTCTAAGTTAATATTGTTCTGCTTTTGATGGGGAGATGTTATGAAAGAGGACCACACAGTCAATGGAAGTTACAATCAAAGTCCTAGATTTAATGTGGGTGGTGGAAGGCAGCCAGTGTTTTTTTCTACACTATTATAAATGAATGGAATAATATAATAATATAATATAATATAAAAGCATAATATAAAATAAAAGAAATATAAGGAATCAGACATGAGCATATGATGAGAGTGTGTCATGGAATAATAGTTAATCCAACACTGGGCACCTAGGTTCCAAAGGAAAAGTGTTTCAATATGTTTGTTTGTTGTATATTTCAATCACCTTGAAGAGCCTAAACACTCATTTAAGTAAATTTGAAGTTTTAATTCTTACTGAAAAAAATAGTAATATTTGAAACGGTATCTTTGTTGAAAAAGGTCATGCCTTAATCTTTAATATTTGTTTCAGTTTGAATGTTTTCTACTGCTTTGTAGGCACTATGTCCCATAGTTCTAATGCTGTGGTGTCCAATAGACATACACATGTTAAATTTATATTAACTTAAATAAAAAATCAGTATTCTCACTCACACTAGCCCCATTTCAACTGTTTGATAGCTGGATGTGGTGAGTGGCTACCATTTTTTGTCTGCATAGATGTAGACTACTTCCATCGGTACAGATAGTTCTAGCGGACTATGTATGATGCTCTAATGCTTTTTTCCCCCAATGATTTAGGAAAAGAATTAGTGTTCTTACATTATGACTTATTTAGTCATATTTTCCAATTGGTAGATCTGCATTCTCAATTTTGAATAGATACAAGAAATGAATTGAAACAAACTTTTAGCCCTTTTCACTTTAAATATACCTTCAGCTTACATGGCATCAATGAGCAAGCACAATGCCTGCTTTAGTGTCTTAAATAGTAGATGCTACATAAATGTTTACACAAATAAATAATATGATTTGGTTATTTGTGAAGTTATAAGAGATCTTCCAAATTTCCAGAACTTAGCTCTTTTCTACTTTCAAGATTCCTCCACCTCTAGCCCCAAAAAGCCAATCCTTTATTGTAGATAATTAGGAACATCAGTTATTTCAGATCAATCAGAATCTTGCAATATACTAAATGATAGCCTTTTTGTATCAGAATTCAATTTAATATTGCTATGTGTGTCCAGTAAATTAAAAGTTTACAAAGTTGGGAGTAGTATAAGTGATTTGAGATAACTTGACTTTCTTCTGTATGGACAAAGAAGGAATCTGTGTGATCCTTGGACGATCTTTCTCTAAAAAATATCTTTTGGATTTTTATATGTGTCCTACTGGGCCACATTTGTTTAAAAAGCATAACCCTTAAATGCCAGTTGAGTTTGCAAGGCGTGTAGTATATGAACATTTTCTGCTTTTGACCCCAGTCATTATGCTCCTGGTCCAAGATCTATGCATTGGAACAATCTATCTCTTCTGGATTTTAATTGAATATGTATGTATGTGTATATAACTATATGTGCATCTATCAAAAGAAGAAAAAGAGAGAAAAGTGACACTGTATAAATCAAGAATGATCTATATATTGAATCAATGAAGTATGGGCTGTTTTTCCTAGTCAAGACTTCCACCTGTCAACCCCAGATAAATGCCAGTTTATACCAAAATTTTTATCTCTGTATGCCATTTAAAAGGACATTTCTTCATTCTAAAGTTATGTTCTTGATACATTTGGATGTTAAATACCTTTAATTTAGTAAATCATTAAGCTAATTGCTAGTTATAAAGGCAAAACAAAACAAAACTTGACAAATCAATTCCCAAATAATTTACAGAAATTTTGTTGAGGAGATATGGTGAGCTAAACATATGGGCTATGTGAAGGAATGTTGAAGTTTTACAGGTTCTATGTGAATTCTGTGACAAAATCGTTACATTCCATGATCTGGCCTTTGGTATTGAATAATGAAAGTCTCATGCATGATGATTTTGAACGGTGAACAGATCCTGGGTGATTGATTTACACTGAACCAGGGATGCATTTCTCATTAAAGGACCAATTTTTCAAATTATAAATTTTTAATACTGCATCAGATACTCAAAGTCCCAATATATTTGCTTGTGTGTGAGTGTGTGTGCATGCACATGTACACGCAGCTGAATGGGAAGGTAGATCATAGTCATAACAACTGGGTTTTTAAGAAGAAACTGAAAAAAGAGGTACTAAATAAATCCCATGTTTAATGGCATCATTCTGAGATCACATGATGCACGCTGTGTCCACTGTGAGTGACTAGGACATAGCTCTGGAAATCTAAGGTCTTCCTCTGGCAAATTCAAATTTATTCTGAGAGTAATCACCTGACCACCACACTGTCCTCACCCTCTTCCACACACACTTCCTGAAATTCTCCCTGATGCAAAATCATTTGATATGTTAAATGTCTCAAAGCTCTTCTGATTTGTTTATCTATGTGGTGAATTATCAGTTTCATAGTTTGGTTTTCTGAAGTTATTTTTAATCTTCAAGTTCTTAAGGGCATTTTATTGAAGTATCAGCATTTTAACTACTAGATACACAATCTTACGGGAGTAATTTAGAAAAAATTTTGAAACAGGGTCGATAGCACTTACATCTTAAAGAACTCTGAAAACACGATTTATATTTTTACCCATTGGGGGAAAATGAACATAGCAAAAACAGATATGCATCCTCTTTCTCATCATATTATTTATTTATGAAAATAAAACTCATTCTCACAAACAAAACTACACAAAAATTTGCTGTAGCAAGGGTTTTTAAATAATCAGAGATTTTATTTCCAGTAAGCATTTTCATATTTAGGTTTGAAAGCATCTATTTTATCTAATTTAAAATGCACACAAGTACATTTTGATGTTATTTTTCTTATTAGTATGACTTTTCAATGCTGTTAGGCTGTTTAGTTATGCAGATTTTGACTTGGATTCCTGTACTTGTGCCTGCCCTGATTACCTGTGTTTAGATATTTGTTTATAAAAATTATTTGTAAATAATTGGTTCACTGATATGAATCCTAAAAATGTCATGTATGCCCACTTGCATGCTTCATTAAATAAACATATCAGCCTGGTATGTCACACACCCTTTGAAACTGATGACTGACTTCAACCTTCATCTCAACTTTGTTTCAGATAATTCAGATAGTCACTGCTGCAGACCGAGATCTTTCACCTGCTGGGCAGCAATTCTCTTTTAGATTATCACCTGAAGCTGCCATCAAACCAAATTTCACAGTCCATGACTTCAGAAGTAAGTTTAACCACGTACAAATTTATCTCCTATCATGTAAGTGTAAAAGAACACACAAATTTAGAAATTGATGCTTTTCTTAAAAGTGCTCAAGTTCATACAATACGGAAATCCATAAATGGGAAATCGGAAGTTCTATATCTAGCAGTAAATTGAATATTTAATCTATATAGATGGTACCTAAAGAGGCAAATTTTTTCCATTTATAATGTGGGTGGTGATTAATGTGTCATGCATGCAATAATCCCTCTGGGAAATTGAATGCTTTCCATATCTTAAATATATCATTTGTTCCACATGCACACTACTTGTACATACAAGTAGGTAATTTCTTAGTGACTTTTATTTGAATAACACATGGTATAGTATGGGTTAAGAATACAGGCTTTGTGATTAGAATGACAGTTTTTCAGTCCCCTCCGTTACTACCTAAACAGCAGATTCTTAATGTCTTAATTTATAAATAAATACTTTTAATGTCATGGTTAAACTAAATCAACCTCATGGTACTTAAATTTAATAAAATAATGCACGCAAATACTTTAACATAATACCTTAACCATATATCACCTTCAAGATGATTTTAGCTCCCACCTCTGCCATCATACCTACACTTACATTTCTACCACCACTACTATAATATGATCGTACCTGCTACTAGTATAATCACTACAAAAATATAGACAACAGTGAATTAGAAATCTTAAAGCTCAGTACTAGTCAGTTCTGACTGTATTAATTCCATGACTTTGGCTATTTTATCACCTCTAAGTTTTCATATTTATAAAATAGGGATTAAAAACTAAGTTTTTACTAAAATTGACCTTTGTAGAACCAATGAACAAACTGTGGTGAACTGATGATAATGATTAATACAACTCAAAGGATGTTTTGAGAAAACTCAGTTTTCTGCAAATACTCAGGGTAAGGGAATCAGAGTCCTTACATTTTGTCACAGAAGGACATTCAGTAGGATTTGCAGCTTCCTATAATGTAATGTGAGGAACGGCTGTAAATGAAACAGGGTCCCAAATATGAATGGCCTTAGAAGTAGTGAGACCATATATGTTATCATAAAAACTGAAGCACTTTGAGAATAGAATTGGACAATATCACTAATTTTAATTAGAACAGCACATACAAAATAGGGCTGCCAAGACAAACTGGACCACATAGTCACTCTATAAGCCACTAAACTTCAATCTAGTGACTTGAGAAGTCTTTGCAAGGTTTACACAAGAGTGTAACAAGTTCAGATTTGCATTTTAGGAAGATCAGTTTTGTTGTAATGTGGGAAAGACAATAAAAGGATATAAAACTACTTCGGATATCACTGCAGAAATTGGGTGAGTCTTATATTAGGTTAAGAGCTGTGAGAATGGAAATAAGTGGATGGAGATAGAACTTACAGGGCTTGATGCCTGATCCCCTAGATTCCATAGATGAATACGATGGAGAAGAATGCTGATCAGATGTCTTGTATCATGAGGTAGATAGTTACATCATTCAAGAATATAATCATTGACTATTTTCCAACATTGCATCTTTGCTAGAGAATCTATATCTTACTAATCATGATAATATGAATTAGATAATCATGCCTCATGGCATATTATTTTCTCATGGTTCTAGCATGTATTTGCCACTCAGATGACATTTACTCTATTACCTGTTTTATCTTAAATTATATTTTAAGTGTCAATGTAAGGTTTCTTTAAGTGACTAGAAACTTTTTTTTTACCGCACACATTTAGCTTTGTGTGTTTGTGTGTGAGAACATTTAAGGCTTCCTCTGTCAGCAATTTCAATTATATAATATGGTGTTATCCACTATAGTCACTCTGTTATATATTAAAGCCTCACACCTTATTTATCTTGTAACTGAGAGCTTGTATCTTTTTACCAACCTCTCCCTATTTCCCTCACTCCCAGCCCCTGGCAACCACTTTTCTACTCTGTTTCTACAAGTACCACTTTTTAAAACTTGATTTCACATATAAGTGATATCCTGTAGTATTTGTTTTCTCTATCTGGATTATTTCACTTAGTATCAACTCCTCCAGTTTTATCCACATGGTCAAAAATGTCAGGATTTCCTTCTTTCTTATGGCTGAGTAATATTCCTTTGTATGTGTATATCACTTTTTATTTATCTGTTCTTTGGAAAAAACATGTTAAGGGTGGAAATGAAAATTAATGTGCTTTTTCTTCCTACCATGGACAATGGATTCTATATGGTTATATATCAATAATAATAATGGATTGAAAATATAGTCATCTCCCCTTTTCTCCCCAGTGGGTGCCTGAAACTGCAGATGATACTGAAACCTAAAGATACAATGATTTTCCCCTACACATACATACCTATGATAAAGTTCAATTTATAAGTTGGGCACAGTAAGAGATCTACAATGATAGTAATAAAATAAAACAATTATAATGATATACTGTAATAAAAGTGATGTGAATGTGGTCTATCTCTTAAAATACTTTATTGTGCTGCACTCCCCCTTCTCCTTGTGAAGAATTGAGCTGAAAGTGCCTGCATGATGAGGTGAGTGAGATCAGTGATGGAGGCATTGTGTTATGATGTTAGGCAACATATGGTCAGCAGGAGGATCACCTCTTCTGGATTGTGTTTGACTTCAGGTAACTGAAATTGTGGGAAGTGAAACCAAAGACAATGGGGACTATTGTAAATATTAAAGAAAAGGAAGGCTGCCTTTCTACATAACTTGGATTCAAGAACATTAAATCCCTAGCTCCCCAAGTGCAAATACACCAGCATCTTTGGCTTTCTATTTTGACTTTCATTTTCTTATTTCATTCTATTATTACTTTCACCCAGGTTTCAAATTTTAATCCTTGACTGTTCCTTGTTGCCAGATTTGTTATTCAGTCATCAATTGCTGAAAAGTTCTATGTTACTTCAACGAGTCCCCTTTTTTCCATTTCTGGTGTCACCACAAATACCTGGGTTACTAACTCGAATCGGGAATATTTTAATAGATTTTTGACATTTTGTTTTTTTGTTTCTCAATTTAAAAATACCTTGTATATAATAACAAATTGATTTTCCAATGTCAAACTATCTTAACATGTAAAGTTTTCTCAAATTGGTGCTTCCTACTGACATGAGTATTGAGAAGCTACCTAATTTTTAGTTCTTGAAATTAGGATCTACAAATAAATGAATATTATTGAGATAGTAACATTTTTCTGACATACTTATATTTTCATGAATAATATATGCTTCTAAAATTAATTTACTTGATTCCAAAGTGGATATCATATATGGCTATAATAAACTAAATATTAATACATCCCTAAAAATAGCAAAATGTTTCTAGGAGTTATTTCAACAGACACAAAAAATGAGACAGTGTTATGGATAAAAATATCCACTTCTACATGTGGAAGTAAAAGAAGTAAAGAAGAAATGCATATAAAGTAACACTTTCAATAATATTAATTTCATTTATAGAAAAATTTTTATCTTTCTTGCCTTGGATTATTGAAAGTAAATATAATTCATTAATTTTATTAGAATTAAAATGAATTATTCAATTATATTAAAGTAGTTATTGTTATAATTCATTGTTTAAAAATTTTTAATCGATCTTGGTGATTTGACCGATTTTATTTTCCTTTCCATGTTTCTATGCTGACATGTGAATAGTTTTGTGAAAAAATTAAAAATCAAGTTTTTATCTGAAATGGTATATAAATATTTTTGATATTTTAAAGAATAGGTTGCTAGCTATTTTATAGATTAACACTTTGTAATCTTTATTCCTCCATCATGTAAGAAAACATTCACAGAGGTATTTTTTTTTCTCATTGAGATTTTGATGTCAGGAAAAAATGGGTCAACACATTTTTTGTCTCATAAACAATTTTGTATTCTTTTTGAATAGAAAATTGATGTGTTACACCAGACAAGATTAATGTTTCTTCTTTTCCTAAGGATTGTTTTGATTACAGTTGATTGCATTTTGGCAGCTTTCATAAGGATAAAAGAAAGAATTAAAATATTAATGTATTTTACTGATTCAAGAAGCACTCCCTACTGTTTAACAGATAGCAGCTTTAAGATTTGAACTGAAACTCATAGTAACTATCTTATCACAAATGTCATGTTTTGTAGACAACACAGCTGGAATTGAAACCCGAAGAAATGGATACAGCCGCAGGCAGCAAGAGTTGTACTTCCTCCCTGTTGTAATAGAAGACAGCAGTTATCCTGTCCAAAGCAGCACAAACACAATGACTATTCGAGTTTGTAGGTGTGACTCTGATGGTACCATCCTGTCTTGTAATGTGGAAGCAATTTTCCTACCCGTAGGACTCAGCACTGGGGCTCTGATCGCAATCCTACTGTGCATTGTTATACTCTTAGGTTGGTTCCAGTATTAATCACATATTCTCTCTCTCTCTCTCTCTCTCTCTCTTTCTCTCTCTCTCTCTCTCCTGTCTGTGTATCTCTCTTCCCAATTTACCATATAATTCAGTTTTTCTTTTTTTGAAATTGTCACATCTGGATTGAAAGAAGACTTTATCAGTATTGAATTCTATTTTATTACAGTTAATTTTCTGTTTAATACACTATGACTTGGAATGTTCTGGATGCTCATCTTTGTCCTCTTTGGTCCTCTTATGGTGCTGCAAGTAAACTAACTCAACCACATCATGCACTGCCATCTGTTGCTCCTTCATCCAAATACTCACCAAGTGGCCACAGTGCCCTTGCACTAGTCTTGGACTCCTTTAGATCTTTTCATTAGTTCTTAGCCATTTTCATGTCTTTCCTAGGATGAGGGGAAACATGAGATTCTTCTGGTGCTTTGATATATTTTAGATGGCTCTCAGGCATGTCTAAGTAGTATCTTTTTCAGCCATGGCAACTCTAATGCCATTTTATAGCAAGGATCCTCTATGAGGCCTGCAGTTTCTTACTCATTTCCCAGGTGAACAAACTATAGTCTTACTAGTTGTAGAGTTTCCCTAAATCTGGGAGGAGGACAGGATGCTAAACATCTAAGGCCCATTGTACAGAAGCTCTACCTATATCTCCTCCCTCCTTTCAATTGGTCAAAGTCTAATTTTGGAGGAAGTAGGAATAAATAGGCTCTGATCATCAAGAAGTCTTCTCTCCTCCCTCATCCTATGACAAGAGACTTGCAGACTGTGCTGTAGTAAATCAGACATGCTTTGACTTTCAACCTTCTGCCACCTCTGTGGAGGAGAGGCATATTATGATGAACAAAGCTGAGCACTGACTTCTTCATTTGAATCTGTGGCCATTTATTGCTGGAAGAAATAAACACTTGATTTTATGGATGGCTGTGAGTCAACTAGGAATAAAGGAACATTTAAATAAAAAGTACATATAAATTAAGTATTTAAAAATATTATCATAGTTCAGAAAGTTATCTGAACATTAGGTATTCGGTTTGGAAAATGTCTCAATATGGCAGGACACAGAATTGAAATTATTAAAGTCTTAGTTGATGTGGTTTATAAAACCAAAGCCCTTATGCTCTATATTCTTCTTTCCTTCCTTTCCTGTTTCCTTTATTTTTTTTCTTATTTTTGGCTTTTAAAAGTGATTGTCACTTGAAGATTTTAACATTAACATTGAGAAATCTAGCTATGAATAGTATCTAAGTGTTATTAATGGGCTATAATAATCAAGTTTCATCATATCAACACTGTACAGCTCTCTGTATACTAAGACACCTGTGATTTTCTTTCTTATTGATTTTGTAATACTTTTTACTTGACACAAAAATATTTCAATTTAATACACATTAAGAAAACCATTGGTTTCTGAGTAACTTTATTCTGATTTCTTGCTGTTATGGTTTCAAAATGAAATTGAGTTTAGACAACGAAAAAAAACAGACATAAAAATATAAACATAGGTATGATGCTTATCGATTACTTTGTTACTTCGAAAATAAGATGCCCTTAAAGTTCAGGGAGTCCTCATCCATTTTTGACGTGATGAAATGACATGTTCAAATTGCCATTTTTGTCTTCCAGTCATAGTTGTGCTGTATGTAGCTCTGCGAAGGCAGAAGAAGAAAGACACCCTGATGACCTCTAAAGAAGACATCAGGGACAATGTGATCCACTACGACGATGAGGGAGGCGGGGAGGAGGACACCCAGGCTTTTGACATCGGTGCTCTGAGAAATCCGAAGGTTATTGAAGATAACAAAATTCGCAGGGATATAAAACCCGACTCTCTCTGTTTACCTCGTCCGAGACCTCCCATGGAAGATAACACGGACATAAGGGATTTCATTAATCAAAGGCTGCAGGAAAATGATGTGGACCCAGCCGCCCCACCATATGATTCATTGGCAACATATGCATATGAAGGAAATGGGTCGGTAGCAGATTCCCTGAGCTCCATAGACTCCCTCACCACAGAAGCCGACCAGGACTACGACTATCTGACCGACTGGGGACCCCGCTTTAAAGTCTTGGCAGAAATGTTTGGCGAAGAAGAGAGTTATAACCCTGATAAAGTCACTTAGAGCAGCAGCGGAGGATAAACCTCGACCAAAAGGAAGAACTGAAGGAAAAGACACAGAAACAGAAATCCCACACACGTGCCCGCACGCACCCAACACACCAGGCTTTATAGGACAAGATTCCTCTTTCTGGTTTCTAGCAAGTTGCTATATTTATCATATTGTCAGTTTTGGTTTATTCTGCCAACACAAGATAAATCCTATTATATGTACTTGCTTGGTTTTGTTTTGTTATTTTGGAAAATACACTGAGACAAGCTCAGGCCTATTAAATACAATTTACTGACATGACACCCTAGGATGAAGACAGCTGTGTGGCATCATGGTGGAAGAGTGTTAGATTTTTCTTAATTCCACTAAAGTGCCTATTGAAACTCTTATCATTTAAAGTGGTGTTCAGTGCACTCTGCTGTGATGACATTGCAGGGTTCAGAGATACAGAGGACATAAAACAAAGATGCTGTCTTTATGTCAAGGAGCAATAGCAACATGCTGACTTCTAATTCCTTTTGAGGAAAAAATATTACTTTCTGAACTCCATCTTCTTATAACGCAAAGATTTTCTTTTTCTTTTTTAAACTGTATGCCAAAACACATTTGTTTTTCGTACCCTTTCAGAAAATTTAAATAAATGCGATAATATCAAATTCAGTATGTAAGTCCTGCATTTTAAAAGCTACATTTGATCTTAACAGTAGTTCATATTAAAGGTGTTCATTAAAATGTCACATTTTTCCAAAAAAATAAAAATTTATAAAAAGGAAATTTAAAACATCCCTCTTTATAAAAAGAGGCCTCAGGGCTGAAACACCAGATGAAACTAAAAAATGGTTTTGTTTTCATCCTGTGTTATTGTGTTGAAGGTTGGTTTTAATAAATCACAAGACCACTGAAGTCTTCAATCATAGATAAAATTTTAAATTCTCTTTCTATGAATCTTTTGGGGGAAAATGCGATTAATTTAAATATGGGATGAGAAATTCATTATATAGCTTCCAGAGTTTCTTACAATTTCTTGTTATCAAACAATACACATGGATTTATGACATATTTAAAACACATTTATTATATATTACTGATCAAATAAAAATCAGGGACTTTAGGAAATTCAAGCCAGTGACTGGTCATTGAACAATGCAAATGAACACAAATGCAAAAGGCAGTTTATTTATTTAATTTATTTATTAATATGGATTTCAACCTTGTGAACATCATTATTACATTGGAGCTAAGTTGTTTTTTTTATATTATCATCTATTTTAATTCTAATATAAATGATCTTGCACAGTTCCTCTGTAAAGAGCTGTTTTGATTCAGATTTCTAAGAAATAGTAGTTTTTATAAGCATACAAGTAAACTACATTCATATAACTTACTTTCAAGTGAACTGTATACTATCAAGAAATGCACTTAAAGCAAATAATTAACTATAATATCATTTTTAATATCACTATATAAGTGACTACTGCAATATTAAAACTTTATGTAGGAGAAAATAAAAGTTGCTTATAGATCCATTTTGAAATTGTGGTCAATCTCTAGCTGTATTTATGCAAAATTTATGAGTACATTTATATTTGCAAGGTTCCTGAAAGCAAAAATTCACATATGGGTAAAATCGGTAGAAATATGAATAATATAGACAAACTACATTCAGTCCTAGTCATTATTAAATAATTTGCAGTATAATATGCTTTAAGAAAGATTTATTCAATTTTTTTTTAATGCTGGCAATGTCATAACCATGCTGGAGGAAAAATATAAGGCAACTTCAGGGTTTGACCCAGCAACATAAATTGCTGGCAATGATGCATGACCTTTAGAGAAAGATTAATATGTATGGTTACATTTACATTTGTCACCTCCAGATGACAAAATGATTCCTGTGACGAATTACTGCATTTTACATCTTCCTAGAGAATCTAACTGCCACTGCATGCAGTCGTATATCAGAAGCCATGATAGCATGAAGAAAACTTGGGAGGGGCAGGTCATTACAAACCACATGACTGAGATGCTAAGCAAAAATATGAAATTGGTGGGCCTTACTTTCACCAAATTAATAAGCCTTTTTTCAGTCCATCTATCTTATTTTTGCTACACCACTGCATTAGCTTTTTAGGGCTTCCATGGCAAAATCCCACAGACCCGTGGTTTAAATAACAGAACTTTATTTCTTCACAGTTCTGGAAGCTTGAAGGCCAAGATCAAGGAGTCAGCAGAAGTGGTTTCTTCGGAGGGTCTCTCTCTTTGCCTTGTACGTGGGCATCCTCTCTCTGTGTCCTCACGTGGTCTTTGTAAATGCTAACTACTCTACTTTTAAGGACATCAGTGCTATGACGACACTCACATTACCTCTTTTTGCCTTAATTAACTCTTTAAAAGCTGTATCTCCAAATACAGCCATATCTGAGGTACTAATGGTCAGGACTTCAAAATATGAGTTTTAGGGTTACACAATTCAGCCCAGAAGTCACACAGCTATCAACGGAATATTTTTCAAACAAGTATTTAATTTACAATGAGCAAGCCAACAAATAAACGAACAAACAAATAAAAACCTTGAATGGAAATAATTTCAGGGACAATGAGAAACCAGAGGAGGAATATGGTTACAAGAGGTCGTTCAGTGTTCACAAATTTAAAGTATTATGGAATATCCTTTGTACTACTGAAAACATTGGCTTAATATTTAAAAATTTGTGATATCTTAGGATTCTAACATGGTCACTGGCCTTCATTGAAGCATTAATCAGTATTTTGAAAATGCTTTCAATAGTAATTATACATAACTTTTTAATTGCATTACATGTTTACATTTATAGAAACATGTATATAATGTTATTTATATATTTTTTAAAAATGAAAACTTTGTTAGAAAAAAGAAAGAAGTATTAGATCAACATGTCTAAGAGTGAAACAGTGTGATATATTAGACATAATCTAAAATTGCTTTCGTACCAAATTCTATCACTGACTGGAAATGTCATATGGGACAAGCACATTAGCCTCTCCATGTTCTGTTTTCTTTGATACGATTAAGGTCTTGCTCTCTTATATAAATTTCCTCTAAAATTTCTTGACTAGTAAGTTGTAGTTATAATTACATGAGGTCCATTAAATCATTTACATACTGATTCATAACATTATGAGAGTCACAGAAATCTTTAAAAGATACTATAAATAAAAACCTTTGAACTTTGGATTTGACTGATTATACATTGACTCAACATACAGCATATCAGGAAGTGAGGCAGATCTTTCTTATAATAACTCAAAATTCTTCAGCAGGATGGAATGGTGGAAATGTGCATAGGAGGAAAGGAAGAAATGTTAACGTTTCTTTTTAGAACCTACATTTTGAGCCAAAGAGGAAAAACAAGCGATAGGAAGGAAAGATTAGAAGGTATTGTGTTTTTCCCTGTCCTTAAGAGGAAGGCATTTGAGAAATTCTCGGAGGAGTTAGTAACTATTGTATCAAACTGGGAATCCCTAAAAGCAGATATAAAAATTGAAGCTTCATATTTCAAGTGGGCCCCAAATTATGACTAGGTATGAAAGAGTGAATAAAATGCCAGTAAACAGCATCAGTTTGCTTCCTGAGAAAGAAGGAGTAGGAGGCAGGTAATTATCAGTCTCTCCAGGCTTGAAAATTTCTCTAGACTTCTCACCTAGTTTATAGTTCACCTAGGAACACAACTCTCATTTGGAATTATTTTTTCCTTAATGTTTCGAAGGTGTTTTCTACCATATTGTACCACCCAACACAGCTGATGAAATAGAATAATGAACATATCACTCCTTGCTTTTAGGTGATATGATTCTTTTTGTGGCAATAACCATATTTTTTTCTTTTCCTTTGTGTTTTGAAATTTCACACTAATGTTCCAAGATAAGTCTTTCGTGGTTCTCAGGATTAGACCCTCAGGAGCCCCTTCTGATATGGAGTCTTGGATCCTTCATTTCTGGGAGATTTCTTTGCATTCATTCTCTGACAGTCATGAACCCTATGTTTTCTATTCACTGTTTTGGGGACTTTTAATATTTGGTTTTTGGATGTCCTGGAATTTTAGTTAATTGCATTATCTTTTAACTATCACTTTCTATCTGGTGTTTTATTTTGATTTCATGATTACCCTTGCATCTTGGTTTTCCAATTCTATTTACTTACTTTCTAGTAATTTTTTCTCTAATTTCAGGAGGTGGTGGTTGTTTTTTTCTTTGTCTCTTTCCTGTTATCCTTCTTGATTTCAGATGATTTGTTTCTTCTTTCTGATGATGTTAATTGTAGCTCTTTTAAAAAATGTTTTGTAATGACATTTTCCTCTGAATTATGTTTCAAACAGTAGGGAGAAAGATGCATAAACATTTTAATCTATTCTAACTCATGTATAATTCCAATTCTTTGCCACATTTGGTATGTCCACAATCTGTCACATTCCAGGATGTTGAGAAGACAAGTTCTCTGCTCTATTGCAGTACTGGTTTTCCAGTCTGCAAATTTTATGCCTAGTTTCATTCATTACTATTATTTGCCTTCCAATAATTTACCCAAAATTCAGGTCTGCTAATGGAGTATTTGCTGTTCTCTTTATTGTTGTGGGAATACACACACAAATAAATGCATATGCACATATGTATAATATTAAAATAAATACAATTTCTCTATAGAGATATAAATGTTATTTCTCTAATGAAAGGGATATACATATATAAATACAGTCAGTCATAGTGACCCAAAACCTGGAAAACAAAACTAATAATTATTTCTTTTATATCCATTCTCATAAAGCAGATGAATCTAATGAACATATTAACACACACACACACATACATACAGCTGTATACATGTAATTAGATGGCTGACAATTCCAATTTGCAATCAGTTTTGGACTGATAATTCCTTTATTCAAGTCCCCTATAATTCTTAATGTAATGGATTTTAATACCAGTCAGTCAGAATCCCCAAATTTCTCCAAAAGTCTTAAACATTGTTAAGAGTTTAATTGTAGGTTACTTTTATTACCCCACATTTAGATTAAATAAATAGAAGGTTAGAGTATCCAAACAACTTGTGCAAAACTAAAAATAATAAATTAGTAAATTGGCAAGGCCTTAGATTAAGAAGAATTTAAGTCAATCCAATCTCAACTTCCATTTTAGGGTTCTGTTTTTCCAACTTCTTTATACCTTTGTTAAGTTGCAATAACAA